AAGGCAGGGGGTGAGGGCAAAAGCAGGCAGACCACTTCAGACCTAGTGAAATAACCCGGGGGATGAGGGGTCTGCACCAGGCTGGCACCAGGGGATGCGGTGAGAGTGGACGGAGCTGAGGTTTGCCGTCGTAAAGGATACAAGTGTGAGAAGGCATGGAGTGAAGGATAAACCACGATGTGTGGCCTGAAAGATGGAGCCAACTGGCCTGGTTTCATATTACACGAGGAGGAAACTGAAGCCAAGGGAGAACAGTCACATCCAAGGTCACACCACTTACTCTAGGGACTAGAACCCAGACCAGTGCTCCCCCCGCTGCCCCAAGCTGCAGCCAGTGGGGAACGCCGGTGACTATTCAGGTCACATGCGGACGCCCTCCAGGTCCTCTTTGCTCTCAGACGCTGGGGTAGACAGTGTCCCCCGGGGGACCACCGGCACCCAAGCACGTACTGTGAGCGAGGCTGCGAGGAGAGCACAGCCCCTGCCCGGGGAAGACAACAACAGTCCACGGCTGCCACCCGAGAAGGCAGAACTGGTGTGCCCAGAAATTCCCACTTTCCCCAAGAGAACCCCCAAATCTAGATTTTAACAACAACTTCTCCAATTTTAAAAGGGGGCTTAGCTGTTTAGCAACCCGGGCCTGAACAAACCTCATGTGCCAGCCAAGTTCCATCCACGCAGGGCTCCAGCTGGGAACCAGTCTCAAGACAGCCTGAAACACACCTGGTTCACTCACACCTCAACCAGGGTCAGGGCACAGAATTAAAGCTTTGGGTCTAAGATGGTCTTCTATTCCAACTTTGGAGCCAGCAGATGATATTCACTATCACTATAAATAGCTGATCACTTCCGGCACAACCTTAGGGGCCTCCTGTCTGACCAACAAGAAAGTAGCTGTCTATCACTCTGGGCTCTTTGTTAACTGGTTTGACGTTACTCTACACAATGTACTAAGATGAGGCCACTAGAACAGCCAAGAATTCAGAAATTCTCCCCAAATATTATCCAGTGATCCTTTCAAAGTTCTACGGAATATAACAAAGCCCTGCAAATAGCCAGGAAACAACTGCTGCCAGCCAAACAGGAAAATGCCTGTACCCTGGGCCGTGTAAGGTTAGGAGACCGGCAGCTGTTCCAGTCTTGCCAAAATAATCAAACGTAGAAATTACAGAACTTTCTTTATAAATTAAAGTTGCCCTGCGTTGCTAGGCATGTGGGAGATGCATGTCATTTACGGCTCTTAAAGGAAACACGCTACACGTGTCTGGCTTTCAGTCGTGGGAGTCAGCCTGCCTGTTTCAGGAGACTCATCAGAACTTGTTTGCCCAAGAAAACAGCCTCCTAGGAAGTCCCCAGGTTAATTTTCCATAATGCCAAGTGGCCCTCTTGTCCAGGCTCTCTCACTTAGAATTAAATATTTACTTTCCCTA